TATCATATTGTAATAATTGGATCGAATCGAGTAGGAGACCGCTACTGTGAGAAAAAGACTTTAGATTTTTAAAAAATAAAGAAACAGAAAAGCCAAAACATGCTAAAGATTTATGTTCTAGATAGAATGTGAAATCAATTCGAAAGCCACAAAATAAAATAAAGAACAGAAAGCAAAAAAGATTATAAAAGTAACACCACCTATAATCTTTTCTCAGTCTATATTTGCTTTATGTTCCACGGAGCCAAATACTAATATTTTAATTAGCAAACAAATTAGTACTATTTAGAATAATTTCTAGGTACTTTTAAAAATAGGGATTTGAATGAATCTTATAGATTTTTTTTTGATCAACGAATATAAATAGATTAATAAAATATTTTACTACTAGTAAAAATGTTTGTTTAGTAACTCAAGAACTAAGCAAACAAATAGATGATTGATGGAGAGAGTCATATTCGGTTTTAACTTTTTTTTTGGCATCTGAATATCACATATATTAAACATTAAAGTGGGATAAACCACATACAAAATGCAATCCCAAAAGAGAGATCAATGATTAAAACATTTGACAGTGATGACCATAGGATTAAATCACCAATCCTTACATCAAAAACAGAATGCAAGATAAACAAACGAGTTGTAGCGAGTCTTCAACTACTTGCGCTTCTAACCACTGATCTTATTCATCACAGGCTTTAGTCACGGTAAATTGGGGCAAAAGCTTACCACTGGAACTAGAACTGAAGACAAACACGCGACCGTAGCGAAAGCAGCTATGCCGCACCCTCAAGAGGTCCCTGAAGTCCAATGTAATTGGGCGCTACCGATTCTACGTACTCCAACTCTCCATCCCACACTAAAATTCCACCGAAACAAAATCAGATTCGGTTTTAACAGTATGACGATTTTCTTTGGCAAAAACAAAAAAAGAATATTGTTTATATTCACTGACAGTGGCGGAGGTACGTACATTAAGTGGGAGGCCAATGAACCCAACAGATTTTTTAAGTTTAATGTAGATTATTAAGCCCTAAGATTAATGCCCCCACTTGTTAAATTTATTTTGCCCCCATATATTTGTTTTCCTAATTGCCCAATCCATGAAAACAGATTTGTAAACNCAAAAGTANATTATATGTGGNCCATCGATCAAAACAGAAAATGAATTTTAAAATTCAAGCCCAATTAATGTTACATATATGATATAGCCCATTTCGTTTATCAAAACCTAGAAATAACAAAATATCTTCAGAATCGTTCTATAGTTTACGTCTTTACGAGACGTTTGAGTTTCTAGAC